ACAACCTCAGTGTCGCACACACACACACACATATATATATATGTATGTATATAACCACTCAGTTTAAATGTAATTTATTTTTAATGCCGTGCTCAATATCCTGAGGACAGAGCCATATACACTTTAAAATTATATTCTAAAAGTGTGACAAGCATACTCTCTTCTATGTGTTGCAGCCCTCAGGACTCTGGCGATGACGACTCTCTAATTTCGTATTCTTTGTAGCTCCTAATGATTTTTTTTATTCTTTTCTGTTATCTTAAAAACTCAGTTCCACCATCCATTTACTCAAAATCGTTAGTCAGGTTATGCGTTGTTTTCCTGTCCCTCTTACCTTCAATCTGTCCTGTGGGCATCAAATTTTCCAAGCCCATTTTCCTCATTATGTGTCTTAGAAATTTCAACTGTCTCTTCCTGACGCTAATTATAAATGTACTTTTTGTTTTATTCTTTAAAACTTCATCGTTCGGTCCATGTTATTCTCAGCATCCTTCTGTAGAACCACATTTCTTTTACGTCTAGTCTTCTTTGAGGAGATTGTCCAGCATTCACTGCCATATAGGACGACTGATATTACATAACAGATCAGTACTCTTTTCTTTGTTTAGCTAAAAGTTTTCTGGTAAACTGGAGCAAGCAATATAACAAGTCACAGTTTTGATTCAACAGATCGTCAGACGCTGAAAATTAAGTCATTTTAATTTTTCCAGCTTTTATTTAAAATAATTGAAAATTACCCCAAATTAACTATCGAAAAAAATCCACCAATAAAAATGATCAAATTTTCCATTCACGGCTCTCCAAATCTCCTACCCCTTGCAACGTTTCTCCTTTTACCAAGCCTCCCCCTGTTTCACCATCCATTCACACAAGTCTGTTAAAAATTATGACCCTTATACCTTTTTATTTCTCTTTGGCCTCTGTAACATTTCAAATATTATATTTTCCAAATTGATCTTTCTCATATTTATTTTTAAAAAATTTTTTCCGATTCTGGTAGAAAGTGTTTTTTTTTTTTTTAAAATCATGAAGAATGTTGAAGCGTATAAAGGCCGAAACGTCCTACATATATGACAATAAAGATGAGACAAAAGACCGGACAATGTTAATAGTGCAAAGAAAGTAAATATATTTATCTGTTTGAAATTATTAACACAGATGATGTAAAATATGATACAGACATAAAACATCTCGTAGTACAAAGCATCGTCACGGTGCATTAATTTGTATAAAATCATTTTAAATAATAATTCAAAAGATGAAGAAAATAGAAGAAAATGTACACTACATTTCTTTGATTCCAAAGATTTTAAAAGTGCAAGATCTTTGGAAAGAAAAACAAAATGTCGAACAGTGATTAAGTTGTATGATAGTGAATAATGTCATACATTTTCGGAAATGAAAAGAGGACTTAAGTTCATCTTGATTTGGTAATACAGAAAAATGCTGGGAATACAATTACTATGCTATGCGTGTAACTAGGAAATGGAAATATAAAAAATCACATCCATAAAATATCAGGAAAAAAATCCTTTATATTTCTACGACACATATTGAGGTAGTTGAGCTTCAAGAATTAATCGATTTAAATTAACTTTCAATAGCGTAGTTGTTATTGAAATGTTCGGAGAGGCAAGATAAACCATTGAAATTTCACTAATTGTTTACTATTAACACATACATACAATCACATGCATACACATACAGACAGACACACAAACGTGTGTGTGTATTATTCTTATATAGATATGTAAGTGACCACATTTATATTTGCATACACTCTATCTCTGTTATTAACCAATTTAACCCATAAATATAACAAACGTTAAAGATAATAGTTATCATTGGTGGATATGTGGTATTTGTAATTGAAGCCCAATTTTAATCATTAAAATGCGTATGTTAAATTAATCGGTCCGCGCATCGTGAAATCTATATAAAGAAAATGCATTCTACGGGTGTAAATCGAAACTCCAAAACAACGTTTTGGTGAAGCCACCGTTTAATTATATGTTTTATCACTAAACCAAGGTGGATGTCACAGGAAGCAATTTTTCTATTTTCAGATTTTTTTCAGTTTTTAATGCCACTTTTCACATCTTCTTCACTCAAATTATTTTCTCCAATCCGTCATATCTGTACAGTTTTGTATCCGAAACGGAAACAGACTTTTCTAAAGAACCGCTAACACATTTTCCCGAATGGGCATGCGTATATACACGGCTGCTTAATAAATGAATATGCAGCCTCTATTTCAAGAACAAAGTTACCAACATAACTAGGTTTGAATTAATAAAGTTGTGAGATTCAAAATACATCCTGAAATTGTTTAGAAATATATATATATATATATATATATATATATATATATATATATATATATATATATATATATATATATATGGAGAGAGAGAGAGATAACTTAAATTTAATATCAGTGTTTTAAAAAGCAAAACACCTAAAAGAATGATCATTACCAAAAAGCAGGGAAAACAACACATATTGATATTATTAATTAAAGTTATTATGTAATATTATTAATACACTAGTTTTCATATTATTTCCAATATTTTAATATTCAGCACTATATGTTGAAATGCCTGATTCTTAAATCTTCAATATATATATATATATATATATATATATATATATATATATATATATATATACATGTGTGTGTGTGTATTATCTCGTCAATATACAAATGTTTAAATTTATTTCCAACTAATGTACAAACGTAGTTTCATATAAGTATCTGTACACAGATGTATAATAATTTAATATCTATAAAAAACACACGAATATCTGATTTTATAGAAATAGAAAACGCATTAAACAATTTTTTATATGCGAAAAAAATATTTCTACAATGCAAATTTCAGATCGTAGAAATTTTAAATTGCTTTAATAATTTAGATTATTCAAGTGGAATATTCTAGAATATTCCAACAACGTTCTCAGCAGTTATCATTCTGTAATTGATATTCGTGCAAGAAGGATTTCATCATGGCAAGAGATAAAGAACTGAAAAATTCGAAAAAAAAAACCTGATTGTGACACAATAGAAGGGAGGGAAATGTTACAAGAAAATCTCAGTACATCCGAATTTTCCGTTTACTACCATTTGTTGCTCCATGGGATAAAAATATTAAATCTGTTGAAAACCAAGGAAATGATGCTCTACCTATGTATCCCTCCACTGTGTTTATATATATATATATATATATATATATATATATATATTTGCACACAGCCACAAACACAAACCATTCTACCTCAGGAAAAATGGCAACCTGCCTCCGGAAAAATCTGCCCCCTCAGTCATGTATCGAAAGAAATATTATCAGCCAATCGTGCATCACGTATGGCTGTTGTAGGGATATAAATACTGGAATAAGAATGCCTCAAATCAAATGACTTACACCTGTTTTAACCTGAACGATTTCGATAAGAAAATATACTAAAAATTAGAACGCTAGAAATGGTTACCTTTAGAATAAGCATCTCGTTCAATTACTGACCCGTTATATTTACTTCCGACTTCAATAATAATTAGGCTGTATAATTAGTGTTTTTTTTTTGTATAATATATATTTTCTTTTGAATCTACCTCTTGGACAATTTTAAGATTTTGGTTAGTTATTATTGGCTTTATTAAGGGCATCAAACACATGTTACTATATCTTCGTTTTATTCTGATAAGCATTGGGTTTCTTAAAATGTTTGCTAATTATTTGCAAGTAGTTGAAAGATAAACGGTTAACTTGATTTAAAGTGAAACTTTTTTTAAGGGAAATTACTAAACCCCAAAATAAACCAAGGATTCTTGCCTTGTTGATGCATGCTTCATAAGTTGATTTCTAAAGACACTTGAGATGTTAACGATTCTAAATACGACATATAAGTAATAGTTCCCAGATATTGTGAATGTATTCTCTAGAAAGCAGCTACTAAAAGAACCTTAACATTCAAACAAACATATATATATATATATATATATATATATATATATATATATATATATATATATATATATATATATATACATATATATACATATATATATATATATATATATATATATATATATATATATATATATATATATATATATATATATATATATATATACATATGTATATATATATATATATATGTATATACATATATATTATATATATACATATATATATATATATATATATATATATGTACATATATATATATACATATATATATATATATATATATATATATATATATATATATATATATATATATATATACTATATATATATATATATATATATATATATATATATATATATATATATATATATATATATATATACATATATATATATATACATATATATATATATATATATACATATATATATATATATATATATATATATATATATATACATATATATATACATATATATATATATATATATATATATATATATATATATATATAATGATTGTTTACATTATACCAAAATAAATAAAAATGTTGTTTTTATAATATCTACGGAAATATTAACATGAATGCACTTTTAGCTAAATTTTATAACATTTTTTACCGAAACATTGATAGGGAAAAAATGTGTCAAGTCTGGCTTTATCAATTAGTGAAGCAAATATACCAGTTTTGCTGAAGAAAATAAGATTTATACTTTGAAATTATAAGTGCAGATAGTTCGTAATCATGTAACGGGTGTCCCCATGCATGAAACTGGGTACATTCGGATCAATATTTGCCTTTGATCAATGCACGGATATGTCTGTACAAACTGTTTAACGATAAGAACCACATAATTGCCCTGTTGTAGAGACATAAACTAAATCAGCCGAACGTAACACGCGATAGGAATAAATGAAACATTAAATTCGCTTTCGTTTTCTCTGAGCCACACGAGTGCAAAACGTTTAATTGTATTAAGTTTTATGCAAACCCTGTTCCTGTATTATACTAGGATTTGGTGCTGGGATTTTCATGTGCTTCGATACACTAAATGATAAGTATTAGGTGAAAAGAGAGAGAATAAGCAGAGAGATAGATATAATGCATTCACATAAACAATCAAACAATACATATAGAAAGAAAGAAGGAAAGAAAAGAAGAGAAAAAGAAGGAAAGAAAATCTGTGAAAGAGACAGATAGAAATAAGAAAAACAAAAAAGAAAGAAAATAACAAAAAGAGAAGGAAAGAAAATAAGTGAAAGAGAAAGGGAAGCGAAAAATAGAAACAGAAGAAATGAAAACAAGAGAAGGAAAGAAAACAAGATAAGGAAAGAGAAATAAAGTAGAAAACAAGACAAAGAGAAGGAAAGAAAACAAAATAAGGAAAGAAAATAAGAGAAAGAGAAAGGAAAGCGAACAAGAGGAAGAGAAGAAAAGAAAACTAGAGAAACAGAAATAAGGAAAGAAAACAAGACAAAGAGAAGGAAATAAAACAAGAGACGGAAAGAAAATAAGAGAAAGAGAAGGAAAGAAAGTAAGAGAAGGAGAAGGAAAGAAAGTAAGAGAAAGACAAAGGAAAGCGAACAAGAGAAAGAGAAGAAAAGAAAAGAAGGGAAAGAGAAGGAAAGAAAGTAAGGAGAAGGAGAAGGAAAGAAAGTAAGAGAAAAGAAGGAAAGAAGGTAAGAGAAAGACAAAGGAAAGCGAACAAAAGAAGAGAAGAAAAGAAAAGACAAAAGAAAAGGAAAGAAGAGAAAGGAGAAGGAAAGAAAAGAAAAGAAGGAGAAAAGAAAGAAAGACAAAGGAAAAGAACAAGAGAAAGAAAGAAAAGAAAGAAGGGAAAAGAAGGAAAAGAAAAGTAAGAGAAAGAGAAAGAAAAAAGGAAAAAGAAGGAAAGAGAAAAGAAAAAGAAAGGAACAATTGAAAGAAAGAAAAAGAATGATTGAAAGAGACGAAAAGAAAACAAGAAAAAGAGAAGAAAAGAAAACAAGGGAAAGAGAAGGAAAGAAAGTAAGAGAAGGAGAAGGAAAGAAAGTAAGAGAAAAGAAGGAAAGAAAATAAGAGAAAGACAAAGGAAAGCGAACAAGAGAAAGAGAAGAAAAAGAACAAGAAAAAGAGAAGAAAAGAAAACAAGGGAAAGAGAAGGAAAGAAAACAAGAGATGGAAAGAAAACAAGAGAAGAAAAGTGAGCAGAGACAGAGAAGGAATGAAAGCAAGAGAAGAAAAGAAAACGAGAGAAAAAGAAGGAACAAAGAGAAAATAAGAAAGGATAAATTAAATAAGCATGTATACCAAAGACCTGGGTTATTGAAGGCTAAGTGAGTGAGAGAGGAAGTGAGTGACTAGGAAGGAAAAAGCAGATTATCTTAATGGCACTTACAATCCTACATTGCTTCGTCGAAACCCATGAGGGAAGAGTAAAAAGAAGGCAGAGAACGTCACAAGTTTAAAGGCAACAGATTTCCTTTGAAAAAATTCCGATGATATCTACAAGTTTTAAAGAGTTACTTTTCAACAATCGACATTAAGTATTTGCGGCGAATACAGATCAGATTTAAATTAATTAAAATAAACGCGTTTATAATCTAAAGTGATTAGTCCTCCAGGGACAACATGTCACTTGTTTTCCAGTCGATTTCTTTTTCATAAATTGTTTTGTTGTATTTCAAACACACACTGTATCCACTCAAATAAAGGCTGTTAATTTTCCGCTTCTGATATAACAATAACTTCTTTAACATTATATATAATATGTAATAAATTATAATGTTTTACATACATTTATATATATATATATATATATATATATATATATATATATATATATATGTATATATATATATATTAAATTTAATATATATATATACAAACATAAAATTTATTACATATATATACATACAAATATATATATATATATATATATATATATATATATATATATATATATATATATATATATATTAAATTTAATATATATATATATATACAAACATATAAAATTTATTACATATATATACATACAAATATATATATATATATATATATATATATATATATATATATATATATATA